CTATGGCGGGTTCTTACATACCTCATTGTGTTGTGCAATGCGCTTGTACATCTCGTAGCTTTTGGATCAGCTGCGCCATGTCTGTGTCGGTCGTCCTGATGTAGCGCAGGACACTGTTGCTCCTCCATCGGCCCATTGCCCTGATTAACCCTTTCCGTGCTGGCCCCGTTTACTCCAGCAAACTGTCTTTCCAGCGCACTGACTCTCCTGGTATCGTTTTCGCGCAAAGGTCCGAACAATATTTTTCTCTAAGTTCAGTTCACCTTGATGGATTTTCGTCCTCCTGGGCTTGTTGGAATGATCAGGACCAAGCGAATCCATCCTGGCACCTCTCATCTCAATATGCATGGCGGTACGACTACTAGCGTCCTCTCGAAACTACCTCTCGATGCCTCGGAAAGGCACAGCAACTCGATCTAGCCTAGTCAGCAGTCTCCCAGAGTGGTAGCGGAAGAGTGTGTCATTGCCATCAGATAGATAGGCAGTCAAATATGTCAGGATGGCGCAATCGGGCAAGGTTGTGGAGTGGCTTCAAGATTCGTGTTGCACACTGCAGCCATATACACATGAATTGTCCGTAGTTCCGCCGGTTGCGGGAAGTGTGCTGCGAAGCAGCTGAGCATTATGTCTGTAGCCGCCAGGGGCGTCCATGTCCACTACGCGCATAATTGCATTAATTACCTTTTCCAAGTGGTGTATGTTTGCCATGCTGTCAGGGCGATTGCCATGGCTTCCAGGTCGGCAACCTTCCGCATCAGTCCAGCAGTGGGAAGCGGATTGTAGTGTCTGGGGCTTGCCGTGCCGATGGCGCCAGCTGACGGAATGCTTGCAGGTTGAAACGAGACAGAGCATCGGCGATCGGCTAACCTCTTATTGATACGCAATAAGTGCCGTGCAAATGTTCTGCCTGGTGCGACGAAGCTTGACGCAAAGGAGGGTTTCCCAAGAAGTGGTCGATTTTGCGTTGTGTGGGCTGGAGCGTAGGCCGTACGGCAGCAGCACTCGATCAAAGTAAAATTTTCCTTGCCACTGAATACCCGTTTAACTCATTGGATTTCTTTGCATTCTGTATCTCGTTATCGTTATCTTTTCCGCTAGTCTTCTCGCTTAGGATGAGGTTTCTTTTTTATGGCAGCTTAAGCGAAGGCTATATACCTGCTTTATGCAGGTTGATGCAAACGCGAACAAACAAAATAATAATAATAATAATAATACAAAAAAAGTATTGTCTACGCATGCATCTACGCAAGAGTCACCACCAGCCAATTAGGACATGTGTCAAAGTATTGAACGTTTTCGTTCCCTTCTTGTCAAAATACTACAGGGAATGATGGAAATAAGCTAAAAGACTACAACTATAAGGAAAAGAAGTTCAGAAATATATCACTCCAATTATGTGTAGAAGTGACACGAAAAAAAAATTGATGTGAAGAATCAAGAAAACAGCATGCAAATCCAATAAGTGACAAAAACGTAGTGACAAGAAAAAGAGAGTCAAGTCGTCGGGTCAGGGAAACGGTACCTCGGCAATCAAGTGTCACCTGTCGGGCAGTGCCAGTTGTCGTGAGTGGTACTCCGATGATGTATTCTCTGTTTTGTCGCGTGGTAGGTCTTTGTTACATCTTGCCGTGTTGGAAGCTTTGTACATACGTAAGTTAGACCCTGAGCTTTGTGTTCAGAAGGAGAATGTGTTGTCTTTACAGTTGTTTGGCACTGTTCGTCGTGAAGGTGCGAAATAGATCTCTTGATGTTTCTCTCTTTTTCTTGTCACTACGTTTTTGTCACTTATTGGATTTGCATGCTGTTTTCTTGATTCTTCACATCTATTTTTTTTTTTCGTGTCACTTCTACACATAATTGGAGTGATATATTTCTGAACTTCTTTTCCTTATAGTTGTAGTCTTTTAGCTTATTTCCATCATTCCCTGTAGTATTTTGACAAGAAGGGAACGAAAACGTTCAATACTTTGACACATGTCCTAATTGGCTGGTGGTGACTCTTGCGTAGATGCATGCGTAGACAATACTTTTTTTGTAATATTTTCTGCCTCCGTCCTATTTTCAAATAATAATAATAATAATAATTTGAAACTCGGAAGTTTAGCCATAAATAAATGTAGAAAGGAAAAGGACATATGGATACAAGTTAACTATCCATCACTGTAACTGGATACTATACATTCAGAAAGTGCAATAACTAGGCACAAAACTGACAAGAGTACTGAGACATTCCACGTCCTGACACCTAGCTTCAACACATCTCCGTAGCGCTAACCGACAGCCTTCCAACTTGGAAGGTTCAAGGTTATGGAAAGCCCAAAGAGGGGAAGGCAAGCGCAACGAAAACGAGCAAAAGCTACAGTCCCAACGGAACAAAGAATGTCGATTGTTACTGGACGACGACGAGATCATAACGATATTTGACAAAGCGCTTGCCTTCCCCTCTTTGGTCTTTTCATAACCTTGAACCTTCCAAGTTGGAAGGCTGTCGGTTAGCGCTACGGAGATGTGTTGAAGCTAGGTGTAAGGACGTCGAATGTCTCAGTACTCTTGTCAGTCTTGTGCCTAGTTATTGCACTTTCTGACTGTATATAGTATCCAGTTACAGTGATGGAGAGTTACTCTTAACTCGTATCCATATGTCCTTTTCCTTTCTACAATAATAATAACAAATAATAATAATAACTGAATACCAAGCAGAGACCAGTCCGGCGGGTGCACAGGGATGAGCGGAATTAGGAATGCATTGCGGATGCCCAGCTGTGTCAGCAATGCACCCTACCCGTAGGCCATGATTGTTTGCACTGCGTCGTCAATCCGAATATAAGACAGGCTAAGCGCGGACGGATCAATGCCATCGTTAACACTTTTGCCAACGGGAGCTGATAAATGGTGGAAATGCGTAGTTTACTATTCTTCTTGGGCGCCATGCCAATGCCCAAGTACTCGAAGGATGGAAATGGAGGGATGAAATATGGGCCGCAGGTCTCTCCTTGTGCACAGGATGTTGCCAGATACTCTGTTATGTACACGGGATGTTCAGTACATAAGGGAAGATTAGCGTCCATCACAGTCTGACGACGACCCGTGAAGCCTATGGGGAATCCAGCTTGTAAGTCCCTGCTCACGCAGGAAGAGAATGCCTTGTCTGGCTGATCAGTGAGCAGTGTAGTAAAGCGGACGAATTCAGTGGGCGTGTGAATACTAGATACTCCAGCATGTACAAGGAATGTTCGACACATGAGCGAAGATTTGGGTCCTTCACAGTCCGACGGCGACCCATGAAGCCTAAGGCTATGCGGAATCCAGATTATAAGCCCCTGCTCACGAATGTGGAGAATGCCTTGCCTAAATGATCAGTGAGCAGTCTAGTAAAGCTGACAACATTGATGGGCATGTGAATACATGGCATATTGGAATGAAGAGCAGGGCTGGCTGGTATGGTGAGTGATAGAAACTGTGTGTTACTACTGTCTTCACATGCCTGCTTTAAAGCAGAGCTAGTGGCATGGCCGCCCATCCACCCTTGGGTCCTGTACGGTTTTGCTTGTTTTGTCCGCTGTTTTCTGGTTTTCCATGGCATGTGGCATGCTGTGTTTCTCTTCCGAGGGGCTCAGCGTTTTTTTTGTATTATTGCTTTCTTCCACTTGCTTATCTTCGGCTTTTTGGTTGTGACTGGCAGTGCGGCAGGTCCCATATTACTAGAAGAGTTTTTTGGCGGCAAGGCGAGTTTTCCGCCAGCCCGGTGCAGCGGTCATGGCTGGAAATTTAGGGAGTCGGATTTTCAGGTGCTACCCTGCTACCCAGTTACCCACACCGTGCCATTGCTCTGCCCGTGTCTTGCACTGACATCTCTCTTGCTGGCAGGCTTGCTCTTTATTACTTTCTTGCCTTTTTTGTTTTGCTAGCGTGTGGCTGCGAGTGTGAAATACGGTACACGGAGTGAATTCTCTGGTAGACCACTACCCATGTGCATTCCCAGGTAGACCACTACCCACGTACATTCTCTGGTAGACCACTACCCACGTACATTCTCTGGTAGACCACTACCCAAGTACATTCTCTGGTAGACCACTACCAAAGTATGTTCTCTGGTAGACCACTTCCCACGTACATTCTCTGGTAGACCACTACACACGTACATTCTCTGGTAGACCACTACCCACGTACATTCTCTGGTAGACCACTACCTACGTACATTCTCTGGTAGACCACTACCCACGTACATTCTCTGGTAGACCACTACCCAAGTACATTCTCGGGTAGACCACTACTCTTGAGTACATTCTCGGATAGACCACTACCCCATGTACAAACCGGTTGCTATCTGGGTGAAAGCAAATAGTTGGAGAAGGCATCCAGGTAACAGCGAAGAAGATCAGAGACGCAGAGAAGTTTCGTGACATACGACATCCCGTTAATCGACCTGCCACTTGGAACGGTTTCAGCGGTGATGAGTTGAGCGATGGCGACCCAGACTGACACTCTACTCCCACTGATCTATCCTGTAGATATTGTAGATATGTCGATTGAATGTGTTGAAGTGTTTCTCTTCCAAAAGAACACTTTTGTTGAGCTCAGTAACTCCTTGAAAAGTAATGTCAAAAAGTCACGAAGTTTTTGATTCCGGAGGAAGTAGTAGGGTATCCATTTTCCTCCTGAGAAATCGGTTAGGTGGTTGGAGTACAGTGTTTTTGCAACGGTGCATGTAAATAGCATGGCTACATGTACATGCTACTGTACAATTTCTATGTAGCGCAAGTGCACACTCACAGTACAAACTGTGTCAAAAATACCTGATAGGGTACCCGCGCTACCCGGATAAAATACCTGGACCCGTTACCCGACAAAACCCCTACCCGTTGCAGCCCTAAACTAATGTACCGCTAACAGTTGTTGAAAATAATTGCAAGTTGTAGTTTGAGAGGTGAAAATTGCTTTGGTGCCACACTGGCAAAGCAGCATTCACTTGGGGGATGGAGGAGATACTTCTGACTTACCATGATTGTCATGGGAATTCTTCTAACAAAAAAAGGAACGCTAAAGTATGGCTCCGGCACTTGTTCCAAGAGATCCGGTCTAATCACAGGTTCGGTTGGAGTGCCGATATTCACGGTTTGTCGGATTTGTTCCACATCGTCATCTTCACATGCTCTCACCAGATCTGGGTGAGGCGCATTGGTTGAGTAGTAGTGATCACTGTCCACATTAGCCAAATTTGGTGGTAAATACTTGTCCTTTCTCTCCTCTTCAGACGCTGCTTCCATTGCTACAGTACAAACATAAGCACATGAAAAGCAATGTCTACTTGTACATGATAAGATTGAATGGTGTATAGGTAAATACTAGGATTGCATAGTGTGTAGGTAAATACTGGGATTGCATGGTGTGTAGGTAAATACTGGGATTGCATGGTGTATAGGTAAATACTAGGATTGCATGGTGTGTAGGTAAATACTGGGATTGCATGGTGTGTAGGTAAATACTAGGATTGGATGGTGTGTAGGTAAATACTGGGATTGCATGGTGTATAAGTAAATACTGGGATTACATGGTGTATAGGTAAATACTGGGATTGCATGGTGTGTAGGTAAATACTGGGATTGCATGGTGTGTAGGTAAATACTGGGATTGCATGGTGTGTAGGTAAATACTGGGATTGCATGGTGTATAGGTAAATACTGGGATTGCATGGTGTGTAGGTAAATACTGGGATTGCATTGTGTGTAGGTAAATACTGGGATTGCATGGTGTGTAGGTAAATACTGGGATTGCATGGTGTGTAGGTAAATACTGGGATTGCATGGTGTATAGGTAAATACTGGGATTGCATGGTGTATAGGTAAATACTGGGATTGCATGGTGTGTAGGTAAATACTGGGATTGCATGGTGTGTAGGTAAATACTAGGATTGGATGGTGTGTAGGTAAATACTGGGATTGCATGGTGTATAGGTAAATACTGGGATTGCATGGTGTATAGGTAAATACTGGGATTGCATGGTGTGTAGGTAAATACTGGGATTGCATGGTGTGTAGGTAAATACTGGGATTGCATGGTGTATAGGTAAATACTGGGATTGCATGGTGCATAGGTAAATACTGGGATTGCATGGTGTGTAGGTAAATACTGGGATTGCATGGTGTATAGGTAAATACTGGGATTGCATGGTGTATAGGTAAATACTGGGATTGCATGGTGTATAGGTAAATACTGGGATTGCATGGTGTGTAGGTAAATACTGGGATTGCATGGTGTATAGGTAAATACTGGGATTGCATGGTGTATAGGTAAATACTGGGATTGCATGGTGTGTAGGTAAATACTGGGATTGCATGGTGTGTAGGTAAATGCTGGGATTGCATGGTGTGTAGGTAAATACTGGGATTGCATGGTGTATAGGTAAATACTGGGATTGCATGGTGTATAGGTAAATACTGGGATTGCATGGTGTGTAGGTAAATACTGGGATTGCATGGTGTGTAGGTAAATACTGGGATTGCATGGTGTATAGGTAAATACTGGGATTGCATGGTGTATAGGTAAATACTGGGATTGCATGGTGTGTAGGTAAATACTGGGATTGCATGGTGTATAGGTAAATACTGGGATTGCATGGTGTGTAGGTAAATACTGGGATTGCATGGTGTATAGGTAAATACTGGGATTGCATGGTGTATAGGTAAATACTGGGATTGCATGGTGTGTAGGTAAATACTGGGATTGCATGGTGTGTAGGTAAATGCTGGGATTGCATGGTGTATAGGTAAATACTGGGATTGCATGGTGTGTAGGTAAATACTGGGATTGCATGATGTGTAGGTAAATACTGGGATTGCATGGTGTATAGGTAAATACTGGGATTGCATGGTGTATAGGTAAATACTGGGATTGCATGGTGTGTAGGTAAATACTGGGACAGGGAACTCATCATCTTCTTCTGTTAAATATGTATTTATCAACATGGTATCTTTGAAAACTAAAGTTTTGTTTTTTCACGGCTGAGCGTAGCGAAAGAGTGCAAAAAACGTATTTTTCACTCACAAATATTTTCGTGCATTTGCTCTTGTTCTGCGCAACTCCATTGAACCTGCCATCGTGGTCTTTGTTTTTCCTCGTGGTAGTTGAAGTTTTCAAGTGCTCCAGTTTTTAGTTTCCACTCGCAGCCACACAACACCACAACTCATCTTATTATTTTTTCAGAGTAGATCTACAGTGTAATAGTCCAGGAGAAAGAAACGACAGTGCCGTGCACCGTCTATAATGAATCGGTCCAGCCTACAAAAGGTCCACATCGCCTGATTGGGCCTGCAAGCTGATCATGGACGGTACCAGTAACCTGACTTTTTTGGGAGCTGCAGATCGATCTGCGAAAGGCGGAAACAGCTAAAACGAGCTGAGCGTAATCCGCCACACACAAGCAAGTTTGGTACCAGGCAGAGTCACCGCGTTGACAGCTACACAAATCAGGGCGTTTCGGACGACCAGCAAAGATTGTGGAAGTAAAATTTAGTTGACAAAACAATTGGTCGCTCAGTTCCGACATGTCGAGTCGACACCTGCCTGTACCGCAACCATACTCCTCAAAGGCTTCAGCGAGTCATTGAGAGTTTTCCGTGGGCGCAGTGATGAGATCGAGAGTCTACGGAGTCGGTGATGAGCGCTGTCGATCACAACATCGTGTCCCAAATGGTGGCGAAGCTCCTGGCAGAGGTGACACCGCAGTCATACTGAAGTAGTTGTCTGATATCGTGGCGAAGGGCAGCAAGGTCGTAGCTGTCTGTTGACAACACCAACCGGAGTTCATTGGGACAGCCAGCCAGTTTTCGGACCGCACATGGACCGGAGAGAAAAGATAAGTATCAGTACTTGAGCCTGTGGATGTTTTTTCGATAATTTAAGAAGTACATAATCATGTAGTTGACACGATCGAAAGGGGTGTACATGCCGTCGTATTCAAGGGAGCAAACAAACGCCCAGTTCGTACCGCTCTAGGCCCTACACAGGGTGCATGATCAATGTCACGGGACCATCAGAATGTTATGGATGTGCAGAGCGATGTACATGACTGTATCGTGTTTGTAGAGGCAACCATGAACAACAAGAGTAGTTAGTTTGTCAGTCTGAGTACAAAAATCGGGCAACAATGGCAGGGCAGTAAATGTTGTCCAAGTCAAACATCGTGCAAAATGCTAGTAGATTTCCGGCCAGGTGTAATCGGGGTGTAACAGATTTCGACGTCCGCAGCCATCGGACACACAAGGGGGGACAATTGGCCGGCAGGACGAGACAAATGTTTGTTTGTTTTTTCACGGGTGGGGCCCACCAGACATGGTTCCGGAAGAAATTCACGCAAAAGTTGACAGCTTGCTGACTTCAAACTTGTGTTCCCGAGGTGCCCATCCACCTCACTCACGTCAGATATTAGTAGTATTATTCACACATTTCTACCGAATGAGTACACGGCTAAGCAGTACAGGGAGCCAGCATATGTTCTCTCAGCATAAAAGCAAGCAAAGAATAAGGAGTACATGGGCAATGGAAACAGTTCCAAAGTACAGCCTGGGATTGTATGAGTGCAAACAAGTACGACAATAGTCATGGGCTATTGCAGCAAGCGACAACAACACAACAGATAATGGGACAGCAACCGCAGGGGGACATGCGATGTTGACCAGGGGTGGGAAGCAATACTGTCCAGGTTTCCTTCGTCCAGAGAGTAAGACTAGGGTTCCCGAACACGCTCAATATCAGGGTACGTTCCAGACGGAGCGATAACTAAAGCGGCAGGTAGCGCGTAATCCTCGCGAGGTGAGGTAACATGATGGCACACTGCACAACTCCACTGTTGTAACGCCAAACCAATTCATAAAAGTTAAGCCACCACTTTGATTGTGTAAGGTGTGCGAGACACCCCAGTCAGCTGCCAGGCCAAGTCAACTGGCTAAAGCTTTACGTATCTTGATCTCGCTTGTGCATGCCGTCCTTATGTTGTCGGTGTTGAATCTTAATGAAGTATTTATATGTTTTCCTCTTGCTGTCCTTTCAGTACCAAGCCAGTACCTAGGCCGTGGAACAGACACCGGATCACCCACGACTGGACATGATGCAAGCGATTGGGAACGGCCTTGTGTGGTGTATAAATGGGTAACCCGGCTTGCCATTATTTAGTGTGTATGTGAGTGATGATGGAGTGAGTAAGAAGCCCGATGGGCAGTGATGACACATGATTGCGTAGGGCTTGATGCCATACTCACGGAGAAGCCCAATGGGCAGTGAGGACACAAGATTGTGTATGGCTTGATGCCATAATGAGGGAGAAGCCCGATGGGCCGTGATGGCACATGGTTGTGTATGGCTAGATGCCATGATGAGGGGGAGGGAGAAGCCCGATGGGCAGTGATGAGTATGGCTTGGTGCCATGATGAGGGAGAAGCCCGATGGGCAGTGATGACACATGGTTGTGTATGGCTTGATGCCATGATGAGGGAGAAGCCCGATGGGCAGTGATGGCACATGGCTGTGTATGGCTTGATGCCATGATGAGGGAGAAGCCCGATGGGCGGTGATGACACATGGTTGTGTATGGCTTGATGCCATGATGAGGGAGAAGCCCGATGGTCAGTGATGACACATGGTTGTGTATGGCTAGATGCCATGATGAGAGAGAGCCCGATGGTCAGTGATGACACATGATGGTGTATGACTTGATGAACGATCATGTGGTTATGAATGATTACAGACATGTTGAAACCGAGAGAGAGAGAGAGAGAGAGAGAGAGAGAGAGAGAGAGTGAGAGTTACATAGAGGTATGTGGGTTTTTTATGTCTCGGTACCGGCTTTTCACCCCGTTTTTTGTCGGGGCACGCGGAGGAGTGTACGTGCACGGGCAGTACGTGGGTGTACAGGATGTGTGTGTGTGTGTGTGTACAGTACGTGTGGGTACAGTGAATGTGCGTAAGGGTGCATGAGTGTGCAGTAAGTGTGTGAGGGGCGGACGTGTGCATCCGATACAGGATTCCTTCTCTTGCAGGAACTGAACGGACGTCCAGCCCAATCACGGAAGTACAGCACCTCACATTGAATTTACTGGCAGTACTACTCCATGATGTAGCACTCGCAACCTAGCAGGGGAACTTTCGGGCATTTCGCAGAGATATTGTCTGCTCGGAGTGCACTGCTGATCATGGTATCCTGGCTGATGTGTGCTCGCCCGGTTTGCCACCGGACCCAACCTGGCCTACTAGTGAGCATCCCAGGGCAAGTCT